AAACAGCATTTTTTTAGTATATTAAGATATGAAACAATATACCTACCTCTGCATGAAAGTTCATCTGAGTTGGTAAATTACATTATGAAAAACTTAAACTTTTCTCCAACTCAAAATTTGACTCACCAGAAATTTTCGACTGAATCACTCAGTCTCCTCAGCAATCTGACCCAAATGCTGTGGACACGTGGAAATTTCCACGTGTCCACAGCATTTGGGTCAGATAGCTGAGGAAGACTGAGTGATTCGGTCGAAAATTTCTGGTGAGTCAAATTTGAGTTGGAGTAAAGTTTAAGTTTTTCATAATGTAATTTACCAACTCAGATGAACTTTCATGCTGAACAGTTGTCCTTGTTGCATGTCTTTCAGCTACAAGGACCAGGCTAAACAGGATGCCTCAGCAGTGGCCTCCAGAGTCTCACAGATCTTGTCCTCCATAGGAAGGGTAAGTGTTCATACTCAATACAAATACATAGTAGGAGAAGGAGTGTGTGTGGTCATTTCTTAACATTGTAAGTTGAATCATCTTACATTAGTTATGGGAAAAAGTATTGTAAGTTATAATATTCTAGTTGGTTGTAAGAAAATCGACATAGTAAGTTTATGACTGCTTATTAGTTGATTATTTTACTTCCTTGGTGATGTTGTGTGTGGAACTGCTAGTTGCTGTAACTTTTATGTTTTCTACTTTCCCATACAGCCATCACACTGCATCTCAGAAGAGGTCATCAGGTTGTTTTGTAAGTATTCTGTGCTGGGGTGGTTTAGTTTGTGACTGTAAATTAATTCACAACTGTGTAATCTATGGATTTCATTTATGTGTGATTTAATCATTACACAAATACAGGCAGGAATGCAGCTTTCTTGAGAGTGGTGAGGACTCGATCTTTGGAAGAGGAGTACAACCCAGAGAAAGCCTGTGTGAATGAAATGGGTAAATTTCACTATTCATTCAGTATAATCTGTTCACTGTTTTTCTCATGTACATGTATCAGCATAACGTTTCAATAACTTCAATGCAATGTTTAAATACGATTCCTAGTACATTTGTAGTAATATTCCTGTCAAGACATTGAGTTTTCAGGGCTCAGAATACCAGGTGCATGTGCACCTTAGTGCACACAAATTTGGAGCCGTGCACCCAATTTTTTTCTTTGGGTGCACCAGTGCACACAAATATTTTCTTAGCTTTAACGTATATAAAGATGTTGAACAGTAGTTACACCATATTCTTAACATCTAAGTGTCAGAAAAATAATACAATCATTGGTATAGTACCTTTCTTGAAATGAAACATAATTATAGTTTTTGCAGACATTCTACTTATTTTATCTTATATGGTGCACCTAAAATATTTTTGTGCACCCAATTTCTTTGGTTGGTTGCACCAGTGCACCTATGCCCAAAAATGAAATTCGAGCCCTGGTTTAAAAAAAAATCTTCCCCTGAACAGGTGTTCAGCTTGAGAACCCAGACAGTGAGATAGCTCTGTACATCATGCTGAGGGCAGTGGACAGGTTCCAGCAGCAGTATGGCAGATATCCAGGTCAATTTCTTGTTCTTTTCTGAGCTGGTTTTAGATACGTAGTAGCTGCACAGTCTGGACATTTTTCTTCTGCCTCCCAGTGACATAGCTACAGTGACATAGCTATTGGAGTAGTCAAGACATGATAGAGTAATGACAGTGGATATTGATATTCTGCTTTTAGGTTACTATGATGATCAAGTTGAAGCTGACATCCCTAAACTCAAGGTGAGTGAACAAAGTTTTCTCATTACATGTACTTTTCATGCACACCTGTTTTTCTTGAAAAGGCTTAGCACAAAGGAAATTTATAATTGCCCTAAATGTGTCATTGACATGAATGAACATTATTCTTTCAGAATTTCCAAGATATAGAATTTAGTCTCTACAATTGTACCTTCAGTCTTTTCTTCAAATAGATAGTTAACAAATTTAACATGACCACAAGTTGATTCTAAAGTCATTGTCTCTCTAGGCATGCATGTGTGGACTTCTACAGGAGTGGAGTCTGAGCCCTTATATCAAGGATGAATATGTACATGAAATGTGAGTTGTCTTCCTTGTAATATAATATCCTGTACTAATGTCATTGCAGTGATAGAGGTCATTCTGTTTTCTGAAGCTTCAAGTGGATATGAATTTGCACTGTTTGTACATTTTCGAAGTCTGGCTGACTTGTGTTAGAATGTTGTAATTAGCTTATTCTATCAACGTGTTCAGCCCAAATCCTGTAGTTGTAGTATGCTGGAAAACAAAATGTCATTACCTTCACCGATAACTATATCAAAGAGTGTTAAACTAAAAAGAATCATGGTTTATTTTTCTTAAAAAGAATCATTTTTTTTCTGGTACAGGTGCAGATATGGAGGGTCAGAACTACACTCTGTAGCTGCCTTCATGGGAGGTAAGGACAAAATCAATGAGAACATGATCTGTCATTTTTTAGCAAGTCTGGTTGATTCTTTTAGGCCACTCCGACTTAATTTTTTGGATGACATCCTCTGAAGACCTCCAAACTAGTGTGCGCGGGCAAGTAAAAAAAATTCCGGCCAAAAATAAAAATGCTACTAAACCACAGGATAACTTCTAGGAATACAAAGCTGGTATTGTGAATTTGCGGCAGTACAAAGCGACGTGTGCGAGCTGACTTTTTGTGGAATTTATGAATCTTCTTGAGTCGTGGAGCTTCGGCAACCTGGGTGCCGTACTCCAGAGTTACCACCGGCTCCGTATTGTTGATAACTACCATGGACTACCCAGGCCTAGAGCCAGGCTAGAGCCTCGAGGGACATAATCCTTTTTTTTTTTGAGAACAGGCGAAAATCAATGCGTGTGTGGATGTCACCCATAAAATTAAGATGGTGTGGCCTTACATGTATGTACTTTCTCCAGGATTCCTAGTTTTATTGTTATGTGTGTGTTTATACTGATTTTGTGTTGTACAGGAGCTGCAGCTCAAGAGGTCATCAAACTGGTGACCAAACAGTTTGTGCCCTTCAACAACACCTACATCTACAATGCCATGAACTCATCCTCAGCCACATACAATCTCTGATGTGCAAGTCTCTTCAAGCAGTTACTTCTACCTTGTGAAAAAAAGAATCGAGATTTGCGAGAAAAATCCTTTATGGATTCTAGGTTCTGTGGAATTGTACCGTAGAAATGTTTTGGAACTGAAAAATACCAGCGTCAAGAAATTCACGTAGACATGATTATCAACTTCATGTATACTATTGTAATGTATTACAAGTGCTAGTAACCTTCATATT